TCCTTTTTTTTTTTTTTTTTTTTTTTGTCCTGCCTGGTGTAGACTTCTCACTAGGAAGCCTCAGTATTGTCTCTTCCCTAAACCCTCAGCCCATCAACTCTGACTGCTCTTTGACCCCGCTTGCTAGTGGTGGTTTCCTGTTTTCTTTCATCAAACCTCAAGCCAGAGTGATCGCTTCCACTTTTTGGAGAATCCTTTCCTGTGGTACTGGAAGCTCTCATCTCATGGTCTCAGTTCCCTCAAGGGTTTCCCCGGTGTTGTAAATGTGAAGGGCCCTTTTTGAAACGTGAAATAAGAAGTAGGCTCAAACCTTGAGCCCTTACTATTGAGCCCTTACTACCGGTGCAGCTATCCAGACCTCCTGTATTATCTGTATGGTCTTAGCTCAGCTCCTTCTGCTGCTTCAGGAGAATAAGAACGGACTCCCTGTACATGGCAGTTGTACTTAGGCCCCAGCAGGTGGAGACAGCTTCGGGGAAGGTGTTCAGCAGCAGATACACACAGCTGTCCAGACTGCAGATGAACATCTGGAAGGACCTGCATCTGCTCAGACTTACTGTATTCAGTGCCGGATGCCTTTAACCCTGAGATGCTGCTTAAGGAGCCAGAGGTCCTAATGGATCTCATTGCAGTTGGTAATGAGAGAGAGCTGTAGCAGGAAACCCCCCCCCCACCCCGTGTAGGTGACTCATGGACGTGAAATTGAGGGGTCTCTTGTTTCTTCCCAAGCTGAGTAGGATCATCCTGTGTTCTGTGGGTTGATGCAGTTTGAGGACTATAAAGTATGTGTGGTGGGGACATTTTTCTGTTGTCCTCGCTCTCTCTTTGGCTTTGTCTGGCAGGACAGGTACTTAGAAATTTGTGAGCAGCAGCAGCAGCAGCAGCAGCAGCAGCAGCAGGTTCCTCCCGCCGCCCCCCCCCCCCCACTTATTTTCTTTCCTCTCAGTTTTCTTTCCCTAAGGTTACATTCATGGCCATGTTGTCCTAGCCTCACTTCTCCAGATGTATTTATTTTACATCTGACAAATAGAGATGGCAGGTATTGACGGTGTTAATGGTAAGTGAACTAGGCACGGGGGATCAGTGTGACAGTATCGTGACCATCGTTCATTACAGTGTGTATACTTATTATCTACCTGAGAAGTACTAGGATGGAAGATTTTAGGTGTATGTATGACAGATTAAATAACAAGCCTCAGGAAATACTGGCCTGTTGATTACCGTCATTTGACCACAGCATGCACCTCTCTAAAGGCATCATACCGTGGGCTTCTTGTTAACGTCCTGCTCTTCCCTGTCCTTCTGAATAGGGTACCACTGATGGGGCTCGACGGTCAGCAATCCTCGAGGATGACAAGCTCTTGGTGTACTACTACGATGATGTCAGAACCATGTACGATGGCTTCCAGAGGGGGATTCAGGTGTCAAGTAAGCGCATAGCTGCATCACTGTGACTGACACTTCGTGGTTGCTTCTCATGAGAGATGAGCAGCCTTCCTTTCAGAAGGCACATTTGCCAGAGTTTCACATCCCCAGTGTTCTGTCTCCCGTAATGTGTCCGGAAACAATCTTAAAGTTTATAGGACTCTCCAGATGTTCTCTGTCGCCAAATGTGATATAGGGGCAATACATTCTCTGTTTAATGGAGAGTCACGTGTGCCGGGCTACAGGGTTTCCTGTAGTTGAAAGTGTTTTATTGTCCCTGACCTGTCATTTACTTACTGGGCCATTAACATTGATATTTTAAGAGAAATACTGACTTTCCAGGGAAGCGATACCCATCAGAAACACCCTAGAGAACCCTGCTATCTATCCATCACCTGCCTCTGTTCCAGCCTCTCTCCAGCCCCACACCTTGAATCAGCCCTCAAGTGAGCACATTGCTGGTCCTCCTTCACGTCTTCATACACCCCACCCCACATCATAATCCTACCCTGGCCACCCCCACTCAGCGGTGTTTTAACCCCGTTGGTTTCATGTCTCTATAAATGTCTTCCTAGTCTGACATTTCACTCCTGTCTCCGGTGGAGTATCGTCCCCCTCTTCTTGTCAGCATGGAACCTCTACCTGGGCAATAATCCCTTCACATAAAGAGGTGTTGGCCTGCCATGGCCTGCCACTTGCCCTTCCTGCAGCATTGACATAGGATCTGTCCACACTGGGTACTCAATATATTGTCCGTGAAGGAAGACACATTCTTTTTAAGGATTTTCCTAGGGTCATCTGTAGAAATAGATTTTTTGGGGGAGGAGAAGATGGGGTTACCCCTGGCTGTCCTATAACTCATTCACAGTAGACCAGGCTGACCTCAAACTCAGGGATCTACCTGCCTCTGCCTCCCAAATGCTGGGATTAAAGGCATTCACCACCACTGCCTAGCTTAGAAATAGATCTTAAGATCCATACTTTAGCTTCTATCTTTGCCACTGGAAGTATGATTGCTATCTTGCAGCCAAGAACTAGGGAGATTGCTTTCTCACTGCCCCACAATGAATGAATGCACTGCATGCAATATGTGTGCACTCAGAGTACCTGCTGTTTAGTGCTTGACAGTGGTATAGTCCAATTACTCAGCCCACTGTATTCAGACAAATATTCCTATAAAAGGCTCATTAGCTCACTGTAAAGAGAAAGCAACTTCCTTGTGTATCAGTTCATACATGAACTTTTTGAAGTTAGTATCAAGATCTGAGTTTCTTTATGACATGACAAAGTCTCCCTAAGGAGAGCAAATCAGCCAGCGTCAAGCTACATGAAAGTATGTGTTGTCATTTATACACAGCCTTTCCTCTGGAAGCAGAGAATGGGTCTATCCAGGAGCGTGTGGTGTATACTGCACTTGTGACAGTTAGACAGCTTCTGCTGTGTTGTCACATGTCTGACTGGAAAATGAGTGATCCTCAGTAAATCCCAGGAGATTTCTTAACATGCACTGATTAACAGAAGCTGCTTTTATGTCAGCGTTTCTCTTTTTTTCCTTCAAGAAGCATTTAATCCTAAACTTTATTGTTCGTAGGCTATCTCAGGATTGAAATATTATAGATGCACAAAGCCCAGCATTTTGAGTGGATGGTCAGAAGTTTGATCAGTTAGCAGGAGAAGTTAGCCAAGAGATCTCTAAATCTAATTTAAATTTTTTAAAACTAATTTTACGAGTATGTTTTGCCTGTGTACCATTTACACAAAATACCCACAGAAGCCCCCTTAAACCCAGTACTTTTAAGATGCGTCTAGCTGTACATTAGTACCACCTGGGAACACTTTTTAAAAAATACTGAAACCCTTGCTCACATTCATCCAATTATATCCAAAGATTTTAGCAGTAGGGCCTGGGTACGGATGCTTTTCAAGTTCTCAGGTGAGCTGGTCCTCACGCTGACAGGTGTAGAGCTGGGGTCAGTGTGCTGTGCCTACAGAGAGCCAACAGTAAATACGTTAGGCTTTAGGCTTCTGGGCCCCACAGTCTGCATCTGCATACATAGGCGGCTGTGTTCTACTAATACTGCTTACGAAAACAGCCAGTGGCTCATGGTGGCCTTGGCTACAGTTTGCTGGTCCTAGATCTTGAATAAAATGGCACTGGTTCCTAAGGCTGAGGGGTCTCCACCTGAGTAGCTGCTGATAACCTGCATACCCGCCCAGCCTTGGTTATGCTGCTTCAGGCTGAAGCAGGTCTTGGAAGAAAGACTGTGTTAGTCAGGTCTGTTGCTCCCGGCTGCTGACTTGTGCTTGAAGCCACTTGTGTGCCACTCTTCTCTAAGCATAAACCTAGGTAGTCCAGGCGTGTCTAGGCCCTGGTGAAGCCACTCTCTCGTCTTCCTTGCCAGTTCTCCCAGGTCTCCATATCCAATCAGAACACCTTCACCAATTCAGAAGTGGCCTGGTGAACCTAGCCGTTGTGACCTCTTCATGTTCCTGCCCTTCCTCACTTTGGGGTGGGGGATGGCAAGTCATCGGGGCTGGGGTGGGATGGAGGAAGTGGCCAGGGCAAAATATTGTCCTCGATATTTCCAATGCTGCCATAACATTATAAGCACATCAAAGGATTAACCCAGTGATGAGCTCAGAGTCCTGAGGACTCCACAACATCATTTCTCAAAAGCCAGTCCGCTGGCACCTTCCCCCTCCCACCCCCCACCCCCCCCCCCGCACCCAACACGTGACCTGAGTTTTACTCTGAGTTGAAATGACTTGAAGCTTCCTCAGAAATTCTGCTGGCTGCCACAGTAGTATCTCTGCACTCAGCCACTGGCATGAAAGAAAAAGTCACAGGTTAAACATTCTTAAAAATCATGTTAACTGGGTGTGGTGATGCACACCTTTAGTTCCAAGCACTTGGCAGGCAGGGGCAGGTAGGTCTCTGTGAGTTCGAGGCCAGCCTGGTCTATAGAGTGAGTTCTAGGACAGCCAGAGTCATATAGAGAGACCTTGTCTCAAACCAAAAACCACTGACAAAAAAGTCAGTCATTAATATTTGCCTTTCTCCTGTATTTATCGCACCCCTTTCTGTTTAAGAACCAGAGCAATAGGGCTGGAAAGCTGGCTCAGCAGTTAAGAGCACTGACTGCTCTTCCAGAGGTCCTGAGTTCAATTCCCAGCAACCACATGGTAGCTCACAACCATGGATCCAACGCCCTCTTCTGATATGTCTGAAGGCAGCTACAGTGTACTCATATACACAAAATAAATAAAATCTTTTTTAAAAAAAGAAGAAAAGAAAGAAAAAGAAACAGAACAAATAAACAAATGTAAAAATCACTTCAAACTCCAGGGGAGAAAAACATCTTTAATCTGAACTCAGCATTTATAGTCTGAAGAGTAGAATCTTCTTGATATTGTGAGGAATAAGGGGAGGAACAAATGAATGACACAGGAGTAGGTTAAAGGTCGAGGCTGTCTTTTGCTTCATCTCTGTTTTTTTCTTTTTGTAGACAATGGCCCTTGTTTAGGTTCTAGAAAGCCAAACCAGCCCTATGAGTGGATTTCCTACAAAGAGGTGAGTTCCCTGGCTCTGAGAGCTCTCGGCATGTCTGTGACCAAGATCTCAATGCAAGCTACTGATTGGAGCTCAGGATGTGGCAGTTAACCATTCGGCAGCCATAGGGAAGAGCACAGATGGTCAGAGGAGCCTCCTGTCTGTCTGCATAAAAGCTAAAGCTAGGCTCTGGATAGTCTCACACATGACGTTCACTCCTTTTGCCGCTCATCGGCGGCCGTGACTTGAAGTCACAGTTTGTGAGTAGTGGGTTGCAGAGCAGGAAGGTGTCGCCTTTGCCTTTTCATTATGGTCACACAGAATCAAAGCTGGCGTTGCTATTCCGGTTTGGCCCAGAATGGGCAGGCACAGCTGCAAGTGCAGTTTAACTGCCTTCCTTTTCCTACACAGCTGTCCAGGAAATGGTTTTCTGTCCCTAGGCTCCCTGATGCTTGTTCTGGGGCCTGGTAATCCTGACACCCATGAAGAACACAAACTGGCTTTCTCCCTCTGTGTTCTCAGTAGCTGGCTTCTCTGAAGGTAGATATGGAGGGAGATGTCCTTTGGAGCCACAAACCCGGCCTGGGAGTAGCACTTGTCAGAGCTCCTTGGGCTGAGCCTTGTATTTTTGCTTTTCTTGCCCAGTGCTTTGCTTGGGTAGTAGTTGTCTGTCTCTCAAGAGCCACAGGGAAGATGGGCTTGTCATACCTCGCCTGTGGAAAGAGCCAAGAGCTCACGTGACCAGAGAGGGATTTCCCTTTCTGTTTGGCTTTACCAAAGCCCAAACCAGTTTTGATCCGGTTTTTTCCATCAGTCAGTGCTAGCTCACACCTGTGCTCCCAGCACTGGGAGAACTGGGCGGGAGGATCCTCCAGAGTTCCTGGCTGATTAGGTAAGGACTGAGGCAGAGTCCAGTCTGGGCTATAGAATTAAGACCACCTCAAAACACCAAGGCAGTTGCTTCTGGAGTCACTATAGCAAGACTGTGTAGGACACAGGCAGTGTGCGGCAGGCCCCACAGGCTCCCCCAGAGCTCTCTGCATTATTCGTTAGATTCCAAGGCCAGAAAAAAGAAGGCATCTGTTGCAGATTGGTGTGGAAGGCACACTGAGAATCCCTGAGGTTTTCTGAAGGTGTTGCCGAGTGGTTTGCGCAGTTCAGCCAGAGGCTTCTTGGAGGCTTGGCAGAGGACTACACAGAGCTGGGTTTAACTGAAGCCAGCATTGGCTTTGTAGAGATCTTTATCTAGTTTTACTTTTTACTCACCTAACAAGACTGACTTTTAGGAAAGTAAGAATCTCTTTGTCATTTTTCTTAAAGAGCAAAATGGACCATCTTTCTAGAAACATAAATGTATGTGTATTGCCCCAGCAAGCCCTGCAAACAATTTCAGACATTTCTCAATTTCCATACTTGTGAATTAGTCTGGAATAGAAGGTGCTTTGCTGCTCTGTGGTCGCCTGGCCTTTGGGGAACATGCTGCTTCCCTTAGGTAGGTCTGGGCTGGCATCATGTACCAGAACCAATGGGATTCCTGGGAAGGAGAGGGGTGGCTCGTTTTCCTGTTGGCATGGATATACCTCATAAGTACTGTTGAGAGTAACGAACTCCACATTATAAGACGTACATTTTAGAGAAATTATTGAGGAGGAGTGGCAAGAGAGGAACCATGGATATATATATTCCTGTCTAAGTTTTGTGACTATTTTTCTTGGGTGTTATAATGTTGGTTTTCATCTACACTTTTACTGCTTACCATGATTACTAACACTGCCCTAGGCTTGGTGCATTTCTCATAGCTATAATATTTGCCAGTGACCTAGCTGTCCTTTTTGGGTGCTCTTGTCATTTACTTAGCCACCCAGCTGTGTTTTTTGGAATTTTTATTTTGCACATAAGGCCTTTAAAAATCTCCTCCTAAGATTATATTATTTACCAAAAAGAAATTCTAAGAATGGGATTGTAGAGTTTAATAATAAAAGCTTAATCTCAGCTGGGCCTGGTGACACATACCTTTAGTCCCAACACTTGAGAGGCAGAGGCAGGTGGATCTCTGTGTTCAAGTCCAGCCTGGTCTACAGAGTAAGTTCTTGGATAGCCAGGACTACACAAAGAAACCTATCTCAGAAAGAAACAAACAAATAAACAGAAAAAAACCCTTAGTCTTGTTTTGATTTTTTAAAAAGCTGTTTCTATATTTATACAAATGATAGGTTTTGAGGTGTTTGGTCACTTTTCTAGTCTTTTATAAATGATGAAAGAAAAAATCTAGCCAGGCTTGTGATACCTATCATCCCAGCAATTGGAGCTATAGGATTGTGAATTTACAGCTAGTGTGAACCGGTTGAAGAAGTCAAGAAGTGGGGACAAGGTCTGTGTTAGAATGCTTGTCTAGGGTGCATAAAGCCCTGGATTCTTCCCCAGTACTGCAAACAAGCAATAATCCCCACCTCCAAAGAAGACAGTATCTCTATCATCTGTCGTTTTGTAACACTGAAGTAGAAAGATACATATATAGGAAGCCCTTTGTACTCATCGGTGACCTGCAAACCCAGAATAATTTGCTTTGCAGAAGGAATCCTAGAGCCAGGCCCTTAACAAACACTGAGTTGTGGCGAGTAGAGCCTTGAGTTGTGTGAGCATATTTTAAGGAGGCTCAGCTCCTTGTATAGCTCTGCTGCTGGCAGGGGAGATGCCAGCATGTCACCTGGTAAGCTTTTAAGATTCTTGCAGTAAGAATGTTGCTTTTTCCTAATTTGAGCCTCTCTTTGTTGAAGGTTGCAGAACTGGCTGAGTGCATAGGCTCCGGGCTGATCCAGAAGGGTTTCAAGGCTTCCTCAGATCAGTTCATCGGCATCTTTTCTCAAAACAGACCTGAGGTATTAATCAACAGGCACTTACTGTGCTGGGTTTCCAGGGTCCCCCATGTTTCCCACATGCAGCTGATGGGGACGAGGCTTTGTTTTCTGATTTCTGCTGGGTATATGGCTTTGTGGTTTGTCTTAGAAAGTTCCAGGTATGAAAACATGAACTGAGAATTTCTCTTAAACATTCACAAGAAAGAAAAATCATCTCCCCTTAATTTTTGTTTTGTTTTATTTTGATTTTTCTTAATTCGGGTCCTGAAACAAAATCTTGGAAAAAATAATGTCAAATAAGAAGTTTCTTCTCTTCAAGGGTTACCTCTGAGACTGGATAAACAGGGCTAGTGAATCATTAATAATAAATTATAGCAGAGAAGCCTGGAGATATTTTTGTTTAGTAGCAAACTCTTCTTCCCGAGAGGTCTGATGAGCCTTTCTTCTGATTAGATTTCCAAACCTAAAATACTATGAAATACGCACTATGAGCTGTTCTACTCATAGATATGCAGCTGTTGTCCATCTGCGGAGGCTCACATGTAGAGCTTAAGAAAAGAGGCTTGAGGGGCTAGAGAGAAGGCTCAGTGGTCAGAGCTTACACACACTGCTCTTCCAGAGGGCAGCACCCACATCAGGAGGCTCACAGCTACTCGTAGCTCCAAGTCCTCTGGTCTTACAGGCACCTGCACATACACACACACACACACACACACACACACACACACAAAATAATTTTAAAAGATAGACTTGAAATGGAATATTCCTTTTAAAGTACTGCTAACTAGTTGTTTCAGCAGTAGCTGCCTTGGAAAAATTCAAGCACCAAATTTTTTTATATCTGCTTATGTCCAGAATGGTGTCTTGGTTCTCCTATCCCTGTGTTGGGTCCTGTTTTATATGTCCTTCTATCCCTGGGTCTCATGTTCTGAGAAGAAGCATCACTGTCCACAGCTGTCCCCTGCTTAGGCTCACGGGATGATTTGGTTTTCTTTTGTATCTCAGAAGCAGATCCAAACTTTCTTCGTTAGTAGAATTTTTATCATCTACATAAACCACAAAACAAATCCTTCCCTTCAAGCAATAGATTAGTGATGCTTTCTCTGAGATGTGTTATATGTGGATACAGGAAAGGAACGTGGGGGCCCAGACAAGGAGAGCTCCTGACTGAGTCTTGGAGGAAGTCTTAAAAAAAAAACAAGAGCCCACAGGCACCCCGGGTCCATGCCACGTGCATATGACTCCGTGGCTCCTCTTCCACGGCAGCTGTACCGTTTTCTGTGCTTTGATCAGCATTCTGTTGGTGTCATTTGAAAAGTGCAGCTGAGATAAGGCCATGGTTTGAAGTCGAAGATAGACCCTGCCACAGGTGCCTGGGAGATCAGTCAGTTGCTAGGCAGCTGAGGTTAGTGGCGAGGTGTAACCAGTTACTGTATCACTGCTGTCCTTGGTCACTTTACTACGGAGAAATTTTTTTCGAGACAACTTTCTTATTTGATTGATAGGCCGTGTTCCTGACCCATACTACACACTGCCATGGGCTTGACCTTCCTCAAACCTACAGCCTTGTGCCTTCCCCAATACTTGAGTTGTTCCACATGGCCCATGAAATAGGCCAGAGCCCGTGGCACGGACTCACTCCAGTCCACCCTAAGCCAGGCTTCTATCCAGCCTGCTTGCCCACTGGCCTCCCAGCCCTGCATATCACAGTCCCTTGCTGTACTCTCTCCCTGTCACCCCCATGCTCCAAATTTTGCCATCTTCCATAGGCTAAATGTGGGTTTCTCCCCACCCAGGCATCTACAGGCATCTAGAAGCCATGCCATGCCCCCATTTGCCAAACCACGACCCGATTGCCAAGCCAGCCGCTGCCTTACCGTGTGATGATTGTTTCCTTGCATGCTTGCATCAGTACAGCTTGATTTTTAGGAAGGGCAGATTGTTGTATGCAAGCTTAAAAATTAATTCTTAAAGGGATAGAAGGAGAAGATTTCAAGAGTAAGAAAAGGTTTAAAAGGAGGAGCAAGTCTTTTTGTTTGCTTTGAACTCTGTTGGAACCTGGTGCTCGGTGGGAGACAGAGAGATGTTAATTTTGCTACAGTGGTATGCTTCTAATTTGACTCTCTGAGCATTACCCTTTGTAGGGAGATTCCAGGGAGACATCTCATTCTCTCTCTGTGACTTTTCCCATGCAGTGGGTGATCATCGAGCAGGGATGCTTCTCGTACTCGATGGTGGTTGTTCCACTCTATGACACCCTTGGAACCGACGCCATCACCTACATAGTGAACAAAGGTACGTCTTTGGTCTTTGTGCGACCATAGCCCTAGGTACAGGTTTAGATTTGGTGATTTTACGTTTATATATATCTGCTTGGAAGGGGATATTATGTTTAAATAGGCATCGCTCTGGCATGCCGGTATCTGTTATAGTACCGTCAAGCTTTTAGCATCCTAGGGCTCATTCCTTATCACCTCTTCATTTACAGCTGAACTCTCTGTGATTTTTGCTGACAAGCCAGAAAAGGCCAAACTCTTATTAGAAGGTGTAGAAAATAAGTTAACACCATGCCTTAAAATCATAGTCATCATGGACTCCTACGGCAATGACCTGGTGGAACGAGGCAAGAAGTGTGGGGTGGAAATCATCAGCCTGAGAGCTCTGGAGGTGAGTCCTTCCACACGGCCCACGTCTCCGAACGGTTGGATGTGGTACCCAGTAACAACATCATCCCAGTGCTGCTCCGCCTCTTAAAGATACAGGTCAAAATTCCCATCTTTCTACTGCACCAAGGTTAGGTTGCATGCCAAGAGTTGCTTGCGGATTTTGTTTTGCTTGGCTTCGTTTTTTTAAGATGGTCTACCTCTGTAGCCGAGGCTGGTCTAAAACCCACTGTAGAGCTCAGTGTAGCCTTGAACTTGTAGCAATCTTTTCTTACCTTGGTCTCTCCAATGCCGGGGTCACAGCAGTGAGTCACTTGTCCTAGTTAAGTTTCTGTTGCTATGTTAAAATTCATGGCCAAAGCAACTAGGGGAGGAAAGGGTTTATGTGACCCACATGTCCCCATCACATTTCATTATGAAAGGACATCAGGAGAGTCATGGAGGAGTTGCCAACCAGCTTATTCCCCATTATTTGTTCAGTTTATTTGCTTATACAACCTGCCAAGGGATGCTACCACCCACAGTGAGCCAGGCCCTCTCCTCCATCATTAATCAAGAGAATGTCCCATAGACTTGCCTATAGTCAGTCTGATAGAGGCATTTTCTCAATTGAAGTTCACTCTTCCCAGATGACCCCAACTTGTGTCAAGTTGGCTTGTGTTAAGCTCACCCCCATACCATACCCAGTTCCCAATATTAGTTTAACATATCACCCAGAGAAGCCTCACGAAAGGAACTGTAGTACTCATATTTTTCCATGGTACCAGTGAACCATACCAGTAGACACTGAGACCTTCAACATCACAAAGCGGATGTTTCTAGTTCGTATGCTCTGTTTAGTCTTGACTGCCTTTGTCTCTGAAACCATACCAGACACAGAAAGCTGTCTCATCATTCGCCTGTCCCTCTGTTGACTCTCTGTCTCTCTGTCTCTCTCTCTCTCTCTCTCTCTCTCTCTCTCTCTCTCTCTCTCTCT